TTTTTTATGTGTGAATGGTTGGAGGGAACCTGCTGATTGTCTGTCACTGTGCATGCATAAAGTGAATCTTTCTTAATGGTCTTATGTAAGAGATTTTCATCTGTTGCCTTGGTGTTTCTGTCCTCAGCATGCCTGTCTGTGAGGTGCAGCAGAGTTGTGTTACGCTAGTAAGGTCTGCAGCACTTCTGCAGCGACACACAGAGGGAAACTGGAGGCAACATCTGTGAACACACACATACATTAACTTTAAAAATGCATTTAGTCTGTTTTCTAACAGCGTTCAATATTTATTGAGTAAATCGGTAATTAGATAATTCCACTATGAGGGCTACTTGTTTTAAATCAGCGCTATTGATTATGTGGCACTGTATTGATTATCAAATGGATGTTACATGGCAGTAGCAACGTCAAAATAATTATTTTATGACCTATGAAATATGAATATATGAAATGTTCAAATGAGACTGAAACTGAAATGTTCCAGACAAGACTTTATTCCCCCTGTTTTAAACCACGGAATTAACACACACATGAACTCACATAGTATTAAATGCCAATTTTTTGTGTGCAGCTTTTTTGGGTTTGTAAAACTAAATCAGAAGAAAGGTTAAACTATTTGGCATACTCTTTCATTGAAAGTCAGTCAGTAGCAGTACTGAGCAATTGACAGAAGGCTTTTTAAAAAAAAGTCTGACAGCACTGTCATTTAGACCCCTGGTGCGGACTGTCTAACATTTACTCTAGATCTCCAGCAGTGCTCATTGGTTTGCATCAACAGAAAAACATACATTTTAGTGTCAGACAAATAATTCTTCTCAATGGGGTGGATTGATTCAGAAGTTTGAAGTCAAGCAAGCACACACCCTAAAGAAAATCTAAAATCAAGTACCCAAAGCCTAAGAAATGTTTCACAGAGTCGAAGAAAGATGAAGGGAAAGAAATATGGCTTGCCATCTAATAATAATGAAAAGGTTGCAGATTTTACAATTCAGTCTCAGTCTGAGCTACTTGTCTGATGTTTATGGATTCATATACTTCATCTTCATGAAAGAGACACCAGGGAAAATTACATTTTTCATAACATTACACAATCTAATCTTCTGGAGAGACAGAAAAGGCTTTAAGAAACACGTTTTACATCAGTTTTAAAGATTGAGCCACCCAGTGATATGAAAGTGCTCAACATGTTGCTAGTCAACACATGACTGTCAGTCCCACCATCCCTTAAGAAGCCTATCCAAACACTATTTATTTTGTCTTTGTATAAAATGACTGTTTTTCCCTACAAGTTTTATATCTGCAGAAACATCCAAGAAGCACTGAAATCACACGTAGTGCTTCAAGTCAAGAGCAGGCCATATGAATTACGCACCAAAAGAATTAGTGAGGACAAAAGGATAAATGTGAGTTAGATTTGGAAACAGTATGAGGAAGACAAAGAAAAGATGGGGAGCTGGAGAGTAGGGATTACAGGATATTGAGGTCTGAAGTATAACCTTGATGGATTGATAAATTCGGTAAGAACAATTAGATTTCCTGAAAATACATTTAAAGGAATCTGAAGACAGTAAAGTACAAAAAGACAAACAAATGTTGAAATATATATTGCCTGTGGTGAGAAGGAGAAGGAACAAGACTTAAAAGACTGAAAAATAACAACACTGAAAGAAAATAAGTGAGAGACAGAGATTAGTGTCACAAAGAATCAGGATTGAAACCATTGAGTGGGTATCGATTGAGTCTAGAAGCTTAAAGCCAGACCAAACTGTGAGCTGTGGGAAATAGTCAGATGTTTATATGACTCATTGCTTCTAAAGTTAAGACAGAATCGACTCTTTAAAGCAGATTTCATTAATCGTTTGCTATTTCTGTGCAACTGTATGTATGGCAGCTTTCTTTAAAAAAAATGACTTGGTTGGATTGTTTCAGAGAGATTATTTTCACCAACATCCACCATCTTAAAAAAGCTAAAGCACTCAAGCAAGGGCATTCATCTTGTCAGCTTCAGGAAAAGACTGTTGTGGTCTACAGGGAAGTGAAAGAGAGAACTGCCAGGTATTGCAAAAAAAAAACCCAAAACAAAACCTGAGAAGATACCTGTCTAAAAAAAAAGCATTAAAGTCTCAGCAGGGCAGTGACGGGCTTTTATCTATTGGGCCATCATTGCCCTTCAACTAAAACATTTTCTCAAATTGTCCTACAATCTCAAATTTCTTGTGCAGTGTCATGCACTTGCATTGGTTTGTGGCTGCTGCTTGTGTGCCGCATGTGATGCTTACATATTAGTCCAGACGATTGAGTGTATCTAGCAGTAGATCATGCATACATTAAATAGTTTAAGTTTGAGAGAAATTAACTTGAATACTCCAGATGAGGGACTAGTTTCTTATGTTTTTCGTCATCATTAAATCTGCTCTTTTTCATAATTGGTAAATATATAGAACCACCCTTGTTTAATTTATTGTAGTCACATGAATTTATTGAGACTTTTAGATATTTTGTACATGAACTTGTTATCTCCTTTATATATAAGATTGAGGAGACATGACTTCCTTTGAGATATGACATCCAGTGTAGAGATACCTACAAAGTGTACAATATGTTTGCTTCCGAGTATGATTTTGGTTTGAAAAATTTTGAAATTACCCAAAAATAGATCTAATGGATGGTACTTACAGGGTCACTCTGTATGTATGGTTGCATATGTTTGTGGGTGTTCCAACCTGGACTGATGGATACTTGGGGGAGAGGTTTGGCATGCATGTCCTATCGCTGGCTAATAGCTTATTGAGCTGCCACAGCTAGCAAGCCTTAGAAACTGCCAAGTGAATGGCTTGCATATCATGTGCGTATGCATGTGCTTCAAATGCAGCCCGTGTCCAGTCAATAACGCTCAAACCCTCATAAATCTGCAAGACATATAGGCCTACTACATTTCACTTATCAGCAGAGATTTATGAAAGAGGAGAGAAACAGGGATGGTGGACAGCTGAAGAGAGGGAAAAAAACCCTATCTGTGGTGGCATACATAAAGTTTTAATATGGTTTTCTTTTGGGCCTTTTTCCCCATAAAATCCTCTCCCCTTCCACTTATGCTCCTGTGTCTCTCTAAAATGCCAACACAGTTGGATGTCATTTAACCTCGACAGTGGGCTGCCCTTTGCATGTGACAGTGATATCGATAAAGTCGTCATCCTAATGGTATTTAGAAAATGAGCTGTTTAATAATCAAATGTGCTGAATAGCACAGCCCGGTTATTGATCTTTAACATGGCACTTTCATAGATAATGTTAAATTGCCTCTTATTTAAATAAGTAATCAAATTTAGATTCTGCAATGAATAGAAATAAAGCTGAGTGAGAAAGTTTTGAAAAAAAAACAATGGATACGTCTCCATTTTTTTGTCATTTGTGAATACTAAAATAGCATGGTGGTATTGTAGTGTTGGAAGCATAAAGGCATATAGAGGGACTTTAAGAAAACATGCACATGTGAGATCAACAACACATCCCCAAGTTGGAGGGTACTAAGGAGGTTAACATATTGATATTTTCTATTTATCTATATTTAACATATAAAAGATAAACAAATTGGTCCCCTGCAGGAGGTGCATATAAAATACAAGTATATTAAATTATATCATATCATATTTTGAGAAACATTATCCAGACCAGATGTGATAAGGGTTTTTGAAAATCTGAAACCGTGTAAAAAGAGGCAGTGTTTAAAAGTCGGGTAGAGATACTTCCACATTTGGCTTCAAGACCTCTCCAGATCTAATTCATCAATCTGTATATCTGATACGGCCTGGTTGAATAGAAAATCCAATAAATCACTCTGTATTTCTTTCCTTACTTCTGAAGCATGCACAAATAACTTTGGGTCTTGAATGTTTCCTTAGTTGATCTTCTAACAAACTGATTGCCTGTCACCCTCCAGGAGGAGCCCTTTGTGATGGTGTCAGAGAATGTGCTGGGGAAACCAAAGAAGTACCAAGGCTTCTCCATCGATGTGCTGGATGCTCTGTCCAACTACCTTGGATTTAAATATGAGATCTATGTGGCCCCTGACCACAAGTATGGCAGTTTGCAGCCCGACGGTCAGTGGAATGGACTGATGGGTGAACTTGTCTTTAAGGTGAGAAAAAAGTCATAATGAAAGATTTATTTATGTGCACTCAAATACTGTTGGATGTGCACAAACACACTCAATGTGCATGAAAAGGAGCATTGTGTAACTTGTTCAAAATGAGTTTTTCATCAAAAGCAAGAATTTGGATAAGAATGCCGTATTTAATGAAGATAAAAACATTCACCCACAAAGTCACAAACTGTCATACTATGCCGTCATCGAGTGGAAGAGAGAGCTTTCCTAAAAAAATGTGGGATATTAGAATGTAGGATAGTATTGAAAACGAAGCAGCTTTTAAATTAGTTGACTAACAAGGATTGTCTAAGGTTTGAACCGCTAATTATTGGCATAACTCCCTTAAAAGCAGAAAAGAGTCATGAAGCATGAATTCCTGAAAGAAGGAAATCCCTTTCTAAGTCAATGCAGTTTGAAATTTAACTTTTTTAGAAACAGGTCTGCTAAAAGTACGTAAACTATATCAATGTCCTCTCTTGTGTAACAAACTGCTCCAATGAGAGTTAGGTATCTTATTAAATTTTAAATGATTTTGTCAATGTTGTTAAATTGCTCCTATGCTACATATTAATCCCACATGCACACAGTAATCAGAGATGTGGATTACTAGTGGTTGTGTTGGTGCTTGTTTTTTGTTTTGTTTTTTGGTGCTTGTTGACAGTGCTATAGCTGTGCCCTACAACAGACATGACAGAATGAATAGACAAAGACGTGAAATATGTTTAAAATTCTATCCAGCGTAGTTGTTGTCTGTGCCGTTCAATATTTTATGTGCATTTTCGTCTTTGTTATGAACTTGGTAGTTGAATGTTAAACCCTCTTTTTGTAAGTCACTTTGGATAAAAGCATCTGCTAAATGCATAAATGCAAAATGTAACTTGTCGGTTGGGGGCCCAAGCTGATTTTCTGCCAATCAGCATTCGACCAGCTCACAGCATACAAAGATCAAATATGGAAGTTCCCATTTAAACTCAAAGAGTTCAGATTGTCATCCAACACAGCTTGTAAGACCTGGTTCAAAGCAGAGGCTGTTGAGGAAGTTGTTCTGTGAGGACACAGAAGCCCTCTGGGCATCGACAGAAAACATATTACTACATGCAGTAGGAATGATTTGTACATGTTTGTAGGGAAAGATTACCACTTTTTGAGGAAACCTGTTTTTTTATGTAAAAATGGCGTGGGTAGATGATGATTTAAGAAAAGCTATTTTTTCATTGACTGATCATTAAGTGTCATTTTTGTCATTTTTTCCCCAATCAATCGTATGAATCAGACTATTATTTTGTTTCCCAGAAGGTGCACACTGACACTAGATTGGCATTCATACATTTGTCCTATTTCTCAAATTTTCAGATTTTCATGTAAATTTGACCATTACGTTTGTGGTCCTGCAACCAGACAAACAAATCATGCTAACTATATAACCTCTTTGACAATTATTGAATATATTTCACATAAAAAACGACCATGGCACAGAATTTACTTTGAACCTAGAGTGGAAAATTATATTTACATATTAAGCACCTCAAAGACCAAATTTACATAGCAAAGATGCAAAAGTGGTCTGTAATAAGCATGTCTCACCGTGAACATGCATGTAATATGTTCATATGCATCTTTCCATTGTCCTTTGATGTCTTCTAACAATACTGTCAAGCTGCTGCCTTGTTTTGTTGATTAAACATAGGCCATTGTTCTTTCTCCTCATATTTTATAAGTCATCGGAGGTTCTTCTTCTTGAGTTCATTATTGTCTTTTCAGACCATTCTTGAAATATTTCTCTCCTTCCCCTTGACCTTGGATACTCTTTGTGTCCAGGAAAATTATTATACTGCTATTAAAATGACAATGAAACACTTTAAGGATAATTCATATTTATGTGCACACAGATAAGTCCATCCATCTATCATCCACACTGCTCATTCCTGGTAGGGTCACAGGTGGACCTGTGTCCCTGGTCCATCTTAGAGCCGGGAGTCTGCTTTCTGTAAGGCAATGGCCTAACCACACAAACAATTAGATCGAAATACATTATTGGATCCCATCAATTAGTAACAGGGTTTTTTCTCTTCAAAAACCCAGACTTCAGTGTAAAATTTCCTATTTTCAGGGTACTTGTGTTAGAATGGGATATTATGTCTGCTAGCACACACTGTACTGGATACTGTTGTGCTCTCTCAACCAAGAGGCCTCCCATAGGGCTTTTCCTTATAGTCTTAATATGTGGTGTATGACTATTTCTGCTAAGTTAAGGATTTTTGAAAATGTGTCCTTTTATATGCACATGGCACATAAAATCTGTAAGTGGGGATGATCCAAAGAGACATCCTGGGAACATTAATTCCGTGCACTGAGTTCTTTTCACCACTCGGATTAACTGAAAGAAAGCCACACAGGTGTATAAATGTTTTAAACTTGACTGTCTTCATCAGGATATCATTTAAACTGTAAAAAGATCATTCTAATATTCAGCTGTAAATATCATCCTATAATGAGTAACATCAAGCTGAGAACTGGCTTTGCATCACACACACTCACCAGGATATGCAGAAAGTATTCATAATGCATTTCATGATATCACAGTGGCCAAATTGTATGAGAGTGCACCAGATCATAACTAAAGGGACTGACCCATCAGCAAAACATGGGAGGCTGGGGGCTGGTCGTTGTCAGAATCACTATCCAGGATAAAACAGAAAGATGGAGGAAGACACAGCCCCCAGTGGTGAGCT